GCTGTGCATCGAACGAATACTGGACGGGCTCGCAATGTTCTACTTGTCCCTCTGGTTCTAGTCAACAGCTACTTGGCTATTATTGTCAGTAAACAAATTAATATTAATTCAGTTCAAAAAACTTTTCTTCATTATTAAAATTAGTCAGTGTTGATTTTTTTTTAATGTCGAGTTTTACCCCATGTTGCTGTCATCTCCCTTAATACGGGAACATTGGCAATCCATTTTCGCGCGAAGACTGAAGAACATGGAATACTCAACATTTTACGATGCCTCTGTACCCCACCCGGTACAATACATTCGAGGGATAGACTTAAAGCTTAACTTAAAGTGATACTACGTCTTAGAATAAACATAAAATTTAAAAAATTTTAAACTTGGCGAATAAGCGCCAGTTGATATACCTGGTGTCATAAATAACATAACAGGATCCTTATATAATCCGATAAATCCAAAAAACTTAGTAATTATCCATAAATATGCAATTAACTATTGAAAAACGCTTAATATCAAATTTTCAATAATTACTTAGTTTTATGAATTTTCCAATTTTCTAGATTCTGTTGTAACTTTATGACACCAGGTAAGTTCACTGATGAATATAGACTTATATTGACCTTTTCGTGAACTTAAATTTTATGTTCATTTTAAGACGTAGTATCACTCTAAGGAGTTGAAGGAAGGGAAAGTCATACTCTTGGCTGTATTGTGGTGAGGGGAACGGGGACATTGTAGAATATTGGTAATGTCTTGGTGAACTCATTCATTGTTCAGATTTGCAAAATTTGAAAATTCGCCATCCAACAATGGATAGAAGCAACATTTTATGTCCGGTCCTAAACGTGTCCGTATAACACGCTCAGGCGTTGAGGATGATCTGAAAGGGTCATTTTTGAAAAATATAATTGATTTGGTCCATTCTGGCACATATTTCGGAGCAAAAAACTTTAAAGATGGGTTCCCTTATTTTCATTTATGAAAATGAAAATGCTAATACTTATATGAATAGAAATAGAGGTGTCGTAATGACTCGGAAAAATACCACTTTGTCTCACATGTCCATAATATTAATTCATAATAAGCTAAATAAGAAGAGAATTACCAGCAGAATTTCAATGAGTGACCGATCAAGAAAGGTCAAAAAGTCTTTTTTTGTTTATCCAGTACATATATGGACATTTATGATTGGTTAAAACTCTTAATTGTAGGCAATATGATTAAGAATAGATGATAATTCATTAGAAACACCAATTAAACTAATAGTTTGCTTTATTTGACACTAAAAAATAAGGAAACTCATCTTTAAATATCATATTTAAAAATTTGTTAGAAGTGGAGGTGCAAATGAGTTGCAAACCATATTTTCTGGTCCCCTACTGACGCCACCAGTGGCAAATATAGTCGATGAATTTTAAACACCTAGGACACAAGTTATTATTTATATATTTGGAGCCAGCTGTTTTTAGAGAATAAGTCATCTATTCCCTTCGAGTCCACGTAGCCGAAGGCGCCCTCTTGAGAGCAACAAAGGCGCCCCAGTCGAGGTAAAAGCGGCCTTTCCACAAAAAATACGTGTCCTCAAAGTCCCCACCACTGAGAAAAGTGGCGAGGACCTGTCCCTGTGTACCGCCATCTCCGCCCATGCACACTCGACAATCGTCGGCAGTTCTCGTAAAGCTGAATCGGGCTCGGTAATGAATGGTAGATTTTGTGTCTTACTTCCGGCGTTTCACAATTATTTGTCAAGTGATAGTAATATTGCGACATGAATATAGTTCCTAACTCATGAGTCTTTAGATAGGGGATAATTCTGACACTTATTTATTTACCAAATGGTACATTTTATAATCATTTTGGATTCAAATCTCGTTGTTTTTTTGTGTTGCAAATCGTAATCGATTTTTTACGATGGCCTGTACTCAACGGGAACGTCTCCAGCACAATCTGAAACTGGTGAAGTATTTCAGCTGTGTAAACCAGGATCAACCTGTTAGAAGTTGCGTCCCCTGATTCGATATCTTCTAGTAAAAACTGAACGATTCCTGCAGATGGAAAAATAAGTAACCAACAGACAGTAGAAAATCATAAGAATGTCATTCGGATCAACTTTCGCTAATGTTTGTTAGTTTCCGCGAGTTGAACATTGATTCGGTTATTAAAGTCTGACATATTTCCAGGTAAATTGGGAAGGGCACATAACTCTGTCTGAAGATTGATTTTGAATGGTGAGAATAGCGTTGTGATTTGCACGTAGTCAAATTAGCAAGACGGAATACATACCGTTGTCATGGCAACTAATGTATTCTTGAAGTTTTTATAAGGTACAGTGCAGGCCCGTAGCCAGTCGCATTTGCATAGATAGAGACTGATTTCAGCTTCAATAGATCTTATTCACGCGTCGGCCATATTGAATCCAGAACGAGGCTCATAAGTCACTGCAGTAAAATCACCAAATGGCTTCCCCAATCCCACTGACTCAAAACTAATAATATTTTACATCTTACCTCCACACATTTTGGGAAATGACAGTTTTAAGCCAATTTGCTCGCTGATCAGTGGCGAGCCAAAGGTGGGCAGAGGGGTCCTGAAGACATGTTTTTCGTGCAAAAATCTCATAACTAGGTTAGAAATAAGGGCAACCTCAGATATTTCGCCCCATTGCAATGGGTTCCAGGGTTGGGGCACTGCCCCACCCCCTTTTACATGCCTGATAGTAACCTAAGTCATATCCCGGAAATTGGGCCATTTGTTTAGTTTCTAATAATGACTGGGTAGCTTGAAAGACTGATGGGAATTCATGGGTCATTGACACAATTAGTATTTACACATGTTCCATTGGTGTTGAATGCGACATTTTATTTTCATTTTTTGTATCAAAAATGTATATAATTTTAATAAAATTTACAAAGTTATTTTAGTTGCTGCGACTTATGCTTGCTGAACCAAAAAGATTATGAATTAGAATTTATTTAAGAATTTTTTAAGACTCTCGTTTGAACGAGATTACACGCATGCATTCGGCCATATTTGTTTAGATTCTTGACGTGACCAACTCGTGTGTGACTGTATCAAATATTTATACAGTTTATGCACAATCCAACCAGTGATGGCCTCGACAAATTACAAAATCGCAAGCTTCGTGCGTTTGTTTGTAGTGCTGGTAAGTCTATGCATTCATTGGAATGTCTATTTTGCGAATTTTGGGGGAATTTCTGTTCCAATTCCTGTTTGTTTTGAGTTTGACAGCCGGCAGCCGTTCATTCGTCAAGAAGTTATCTTCTCGATTACCAAGCCTGAAAGCTTATAGTTTTGCATTTGCTTGTGGATTTCAAATAAATTCATAGATAAATTTTCATAGATCTAGAACATATTTCTAGAAGCAACATTGCATTGACTGATGTGGTGGCAAGTCACAGATGCAGTCGTTGCCTTCTATCTAGGCTTGGATGGAAATTGCCATGAGGATTCATGTCTTGTTTCAAATGCAAATTGGCATGTTATGAATTGAGCATCCCAATGCAGACATTGTCCTTCAATATTTAGTTAAATGTCCAGTGCAATTTCTTATGAGCATGACAATCTGTCTGCTGCAAAATGTATGAAAATTGTTTTTTCTTGTATGGTGATAGTGAAATTATCAGCTCTTATGATCATTGGTATTGCTCACATAAGTCGGGAGCTTGTTTCTTGGCTTTGTCCGAATTCTCCTTGGGAGAAAAAAAAATCTTTTCTAAGTAAGATTACACACGGGAAATACTATATAAATATGCAGAAACCCTCTGAAAATATGCTTCACCATTTTGAGCCCGAAACAGTTTCTTTTTCTTACATCACAAAATATATAAGTGCTGTGTTTTTTTTAAGGTTTTGAGTGCTCTACAAACCGTAAACAGTGAAACAATACAACTTAATGATGCCAATATTAACAATGTATTAGGTAAGAACTTATTTACAGGCTACATTCTGTTTGAATACATTTGCCTTTGCAGGTGTTTTATGTATTTTATATTCAAATCTTATGACTAACATCAAGTTAATCACTTTTCATTCACAGAAATTTATTGATCGAGGGCGCAATAGGAACTGAAAAGTAATTTGCGCAATATAAGTGAACTATTACTATTATTGTCAAAGTATCTGGATCTTCGAGAACAAAACTTTCAATGTTCTTGGATTTTCTTGGATTTTCTTGACCCAAATTTTTATCATATACCAGTATATTGCTGTATTTTGTGTTGTTGAACAGCTAATAGGAATGGTTGTCAAACAAAACATTGATACCGGTACTTAAATGTAAAACAACTGAATCTTGAAATGCTATAAATGGATTCTCTTAGTTTTGAATTGTTGTCATGCTCAATGGGTCAAAATAAAAATGCACTGGCCTGAAACTTAATGGGTACCCTATGTAAAGACTTTGCTGCATTTTGACATGGCCTAGATAGTTTGGTATGGCTTAAACTTTAGTTTTAAGCTGAAAAAGGGTAATGAAGACATGTTATTCGGGCAAAAATCTCATAACTAGGTTAGAAATTCGGGCAATCTCAGATATTTCTCCCCATTGCAAGGGGTCCCAGGGTTGGAGCACTGCCCCATCCCCTTTTATTTACAGGCCTGATAGTGACCTATGTCATTTACATATCCCGGAAATTGAGCCATGAAGTTTATTGTGCCTTAGGGATGTAGTTTATCAATAACCTGCATCATAATTATCCCCCTGGGCTCCCTGTTTAAAGTAGAAACTATTTTAAGATAAAAATACTAGCTGCTTATTGTGTATTGTTTTACATAGAATATATAGGCCATAGGGTATATGGTGGTATATGGTGGGTGTACATGCTAAATATAGTAGGCTTATGTTGCTGTCTGACAAAATTTCCCTTATGGCATACTCCATGGCATTGCCTGGTTTTTTATTTAATATTGTATTAAACAGCAAAATTTCATTTCATTAAGAAAAGTGAAAACCTGGTTTTGTTCTGTTTAAAAAATTATAAAGGAATGTGTTTTATTTTGTAGCTGGTCATGATATTGTTTTTGTCAATTTCTATGCAGATTGGTGAGTGATCATTTTAGTAGATGAGTTTATTAATTTATAGATTAAAGATGGGTTTCCTTATTTTTTAGTGTCAACTTAAGCAAACTATTCGATTGATTGGTGTTTCTAATGAATTATCATGTATTCTTTATCATATCATTATGTTCTTATTGCACATAATTTAAGTTTTAACCAATCATAAATGTCCATGTATGAACAGACTGGATAAACAAAAAAAGACTTTTTGATCTTTCTTGATCGGCCACTCATTGGAATTCTGGTGGTAATTCTCTTCTAATTTAGCTAATTATGAATTAATTATGGACATGTGAGACAAACTGGTATTTTTCCAAGTCATTAGAACACCTCTACTTTCTATTAATATAAGTATTTGAATTTCATTTTCATAAATACCATTGATAAAGAATGTATCTAATATCATATTGTGAAAAGATGAAATGGTAAAGCTAATATTTGACAGCTAATACTCGAAATTGAAACTGGTTGAAATTGTTAACATGATATAAAATTTATCATTAGTCTGATACATTAGGGTTAATATTTATACTGTCTCTAAGTTTAATATATTAATAGGTCCAATGTCAATATACAGTGTCATTAGTAGTCAATGGGTTAACTCTTTGTTGACTTTTTCTTCCTTGTGTTAAACTTTGATAGTGGTTTATGATAATCTAGAAGAGCAAAAATGAATTTTATGTTGATATAAATGCTCAAAATATATTTTGATCTTTAAGTGTCAGTTTTTTATATGCCCACACATTAATATAGCCGTCACCGCCTGTCTGTCCACAATTGTTTGTGGACACGATAGAGAGCTGGATTCTTGATGGATTTTGACGAAACTTGGTGTGAGTGTTTGTAATCACCCAAGGATGAACCCTATTGAAAATCAGATGAATTGAAAAATATTTACTTTGAGTTATTGTCCTTGTTCTTGAATTGTTTGTGGACACGATGGAAAGCTAGTTTCTTGATGGATTTTGACGAAACTTGGTGTGAGTGTTTGTAATCACCCAAGGATGAACCCTATTAAAAATCAGATGAATTGAAAAATATTTACTTTGAGTTATTGCCCTTGTTCTTGAATTGTTTGTGGACACGATGGAAAGCTAGTTTCTTGATGGATTTTGACGAAACTTGGTGTGAGTGTTTGTAATCACCCAAGGATGAACCCTATTGAAAATCAGACGAATCGAAAAATATTTACCGGTACTATAAGTTATTGCCCTTGTTCTTGAATTGTAAGCTGTAAACAAAACCCATGAAATAAGAAAATTTCACTCTCAGAAACATTCATTTACTGATAACTCTTGTCAACCTCCCGGACAAATTAGCTGCCATTACAAATGTGGGCGTATTACGATGGAATCGCTATTTTTTTTATTTCTTTAAGAAATATATAACTTTCAGTTTGATTTTCACTATTTGACATTAAATTTATTTTGTATTTGAATTCAATGATTTCTTTTGGACATATTATCTTGATTTCTCAAAGGTGTGAGAGTCAGTTTCACCACAAACCCTTTGTTAGGAAGCTGATATTAAGGTTTAGTTCTTTCAAACTTCATGATCAAGGACTATATACTGACAATCAGGTATAGATTATAGAACAGCAAAATTCAATCTCACATTTTTTCATCGTCTAAATCCAAATGTTTTACAAATTTTTCTAGGTGTCGATTCAGTCAAATCCTTGCACCAATATTTGAAGAAGCTTCGAACAAAATTCGTCTAGAAGTGCCAGTAAGTTACTCTCTGTTCCTTTTTTTATCATTAAATATAATTTAACTACCTGTACCCCTTTTTAGAATGGAGTTTTGTTGATATGACTAGACTATTTTATTTCAAACTTAGTTTGGTTCATCTTTTCAATGATGCAGACTTGAAACTAGTCCAGTAGATAAATAAAGGCCATGTAGGTTACAGGCTGTGCATTGAACATACAGTTAAAAATATAAAAAAAGTAGGTTAAAGCTAAGATTCCATATACGCATCATGCGTCATGCGGACATAAATGGCCCTTGCGGATCCGTCATGCGTCAAATATGATTCTATATGTGCGTTAAACGTATGCGTTATCTTTCTTTTGACACACAGACTTCTAGACAGATGGATGCTTTGGTGCATAAAAAAGACAGGAAATCCCCACAAAATACGTCACATTTGGGAGATCTCCGCGTGGAAAGGCGTCCGGATGCGTCAAAAATCGCTATACCCAGGATTTTTTTATTGACGCATGACGGAGACCATTTGACGGATACCGCTTCCGCATATATGGAATCATACCCTCTTAAACCAACCATTTCCATTTTTAACGCATGATGGATCCGCATGACGGAAGCGCATGACGCGTATATGGAATCTTAGCTTAATGTTGCTATACTAGCATTTCTCATTGAACACTGCATGGCATGGGTGGTGTTTGTCCCCATGTTAAGTAGCATGTAAACCACATTTGATTTTTCATCGTGTGATTATGATATTTGTGTTTTCTAGGAAGGAGGTCGAGTGGCGTTTGGTAAAGTTGATTGTGACAGAGAAGGTTAGTTGAAAATTCTCATTTTTATACGCCCACATGAAATTGCTCGTAAACACTCTACAAGACACAATTCTTGACAGATTTTGACAAAACTTGGTATGAATGTTCAGAAGAATCAAAATATATTTAGTATAAGTTATTGCCCATGTTCTTAAAGACGCGTTCAATTTTTAGCTCGTAATCACTCTAGAAGGCACAATTCTTGAGGGATTTTGATGAAACTTGGTGTGAATGTTAGTAACCATCCAAGGATAAACCCTATTGAAAATCAGAAGAATCGAAAAATATTTACTATGAGTTATTGCCCTTGTTCTTGAAAATGGTTTCAAATTTAGCTCTAAAACCCCAAAAGGCATGATTGTTGCTGGATTTTGACAAAACGTGGTTTTATTATTCAGTCCGGCGCTGAAGATTGAATATTTGCCTTCTAGAGTGTTCACGAGCTAAAAATTGAACACGTTTTCAAGAACAAGGGCAATAACTCATACTCAATATTATTCAGTATCGCCCTAAAGAATTCAAAAGAAGTGTATGACTGAAGGTTGAATATTTCATACTGGTGATTGTTACTGTACTGCTAAATATTTTTATTCAAAATAAAGCTGCCAGTGGGCGTATATTACCTTGTCTGGCAAAGTTATCTTTATCAAACAAGGTTCTCATTTATCCACATTTTGATGGTGGTATCAGTTATTATTGAATGTTCAAATTACTTTATATTCCTGGAAGGGAAATAGATCAAAGGAAGTCCAAAGGGTTTTTTGTATTGAATTGTTGCCCCTCCCAAAAAACTGCGAAAAAATATTGATTTCTGGTGGAAAAATATCAGAATTCGTATGAATCAAGTTAGTTTTCTTGTGTATGTTGTAATAAATTTCTTTACCAATTCTCTTTTTATTTTTCAGTGAACATTGGTACACAGTATCGTATCAATAAATATCCAACCTTAAAATTATTCCGAAATGGTCAAGTGGTCAAGAAAGAATTCCGAGGTCAAAGGTCAGTGGATTCCATCGCCAACTTTATTCGAGATCAGTTGAAAGAGAATGTGGTTGAACACAATAATATAGATGATCTGGATGAACTAGATGTAAGTTAGTCTTTATATTACCATAGATATTTAGTTTCATTTATTTTCTGTGGGCTTCTTCACTCAATTTAGTTCTGACTACATCCTTCTCTAAATCAAGTTGAAGTAGGTCTTTAGATAGAGCTGTAGGAGAATGGGAATGACACAAAAAGAGAAATGGAGACCTCTTTTTCTATGCCCACATCTCTATGTGGACGTATATTGTCGGCACCCCTGTCCGTCGGTCCGTCAACATTTACTTGTAAATGCTCTAAAAACTAGATTGAAATCCGGTATGTGTATACATATTCATAAAAGGAAGATCAAGTCTGAATTTGAGCTATTTTCGACTGTTACAAGCAGAGTTATTGCCCTTGCCCCAAAATCTTGAATATGCTATTACTCTCATAGTTTTCAACCGATTTTGATGAAACTTAAAAGGATGTTTCGTTTTTACCATCCGCATGCCGTGGTGGGCATATATGGCTGTGGTCCACTATCTTTGATAAAGGTTGTTCTCACTAGAGATCTCTTGATAGTTGAAATTAAAAGTTGACTGATTGACCTATTGCTTATTTCCCTCATTGCAAACTGCATAGCATTGAAGCTGGGCAAGAAAACATTGGGAATCAAAATGTTACATTTTGTATTAATAATCTCCTCATTGCACACTGCTTAGTGTTTCTAATGCTATCTGGTGTCAAATCTTTTCCTCTCAATTAGGAAAATTTCCTTCGCAAACACATTTCATAAAGTAACTTGGTTATTTTCAGACTAAGAAACGCCATGTGATAGGTTATTTTGAGAACAAGAATTCTGATAATTATAAAACATTTTCTAAAACTGCCAGTGTACTGAGAGATGACTGTTTGTTTCATGCTGCTATAGGGTAAGTACCGTTTGGTCTTTGACTGCGATTAAAACCCAGGCTGTGTAATCTCCAAACACTGTAAGTGGTAGGATGTCCGAGGATTATAACTTCTAACATTGTTTCGAGGATATCCTAGCGCTATGATAGTTTGGAGACTACGTGGTTGGGATCTCCATTTGTTTGACAGAAGCAAGCAAATGATGTCATGGAAAGTTTCTGCCTTTTGGATGCATTTTCAAAGAAAATATATTGAAACTAATATCCTTTGAAATGGATGAAATTTCTCATGTAATTTTGTTTATGATATTGTAGGACTGTGTCTGCTAATGAAAGATCAGGGGGAGATAATATAGTATTCAGACCACCAAATGTAAGTTTTATTGGTATTTGTATATTATTTCTGCTATTAAAGCAATATAGTTATTAATGTCCTACAGGCCCGTAGCTAGGCGGAGCCAGGCCCCCCTAAAAAAGTTTTTGGCCCCTCCTGAAAAATTTAGACGACTTTCATGACTTTTTGAGTCAAGCTGATATAGTTATATACTTATTAACTTTATCGGCTGATAGAGCTCAATTTAAGATATCTGAATAGTTATATACTTCTTTACTTTACCAGGTGATAGAGCTCAATTTAAGATATCTGTATAGTTATAGAGTAATTTACTTTATCAGCTGATAGAGCTCAATTTAAGATGTCTGAATAGTTATATACTTCTTTACTTTACCAGCTGATAAAGCTCAATTTAAGATATCTGTATAGTTATAGAGTAATTTACTTTATCAGCTGATAGAGCTCAATTTAAGATGTCTGAATATTTGTCTTCATATTTACTATACCAGCTGATAAAGCTCAATTTAAGATATCTGTATAGTTATAGAGTAATTTACTTTATCAGCTGATAGAGCTCAATTTAAGATGTCTGAATATTTGTCTTCATATTTACTATACCAGCTGATAGAGCTCAATTTAAGATATCTGAGTATTTGTCTTCATATTTACTATACCAGCTGATAAAGCTCAATTTAAGATATCTGAAAAGTTATATACTTATTTACTTTACCAGCTGATAAAGCTCAATTTAAGATATCTGAATAGTTATATACTTATTTACTTTACAAGCTGATAAAGCTCAATTTAAGATATCTGTATAGTTATATACTTATTTACTTTATCAGCTGATAGAGCTCAATTTAAAATATCTGAATAGTTGTCTTCATATTTACTTTACCAGCTGATTTTAGCTATATGTATCCCTTTTCAAAAAGAAAATTGTATCTGGTTTGTCTGCAATTAAAGGAAACCTTTGTTTGTTTTAGACCAGACGACAAGATGTTCATTACCAAGGCTCACTAACCAATCTGGAAACAGTTAAAGAATGGACAAGAGAAAATTGCGTTCCCTTGGTTCGAGAAATTACATTTGAAAATGCAGAGGTAAGAATTGAAGTGAAATGTTCTTTATCATTTGGGCTTTACTCATCAAATTATTCCATTTAATAGCTGATAAGAGTTCACTTATAGCCATCCGTATTACTTTTCAGAATATAAATACAACATCTGGTTTGTATTAAATTTCTAACGATTGGCAAACATGGTGCATAATGACTATTGTCAATTCTTTTTGTTTGCAACAACCTACAAAACTAATCAGAATTAATGGCCATTTTTTCTACATTTTCTGTGCCAAATTCTCAGATCTAATGGCAGTTCTGTCTATTTGCAGGAACTGACAGAAGAAGGGATACCGTTCTTGATATTATTCCACAAATTAGATGATGCAGATATTGTTAGAAAATATAACACAGAAGTTGTGCGTCATTTATCACATGAAAAAAGTAAGTTGTTAACCAATTTGATATCCACGTATAGATGTTTGTCTCATGTCTTTTCTGTGGGTAACTACATCATGAATGGCAAACACATACAAAATGGTACAACCTTGGTAAGACAGTGCTTTTGCACTGTAATCTGGCAGGTGAATAGTTTAATAAAAGCATAGGTCAAGATGATACCTTCCCAGGTTTCAACCCGGTTTCCCCCTGTCAATGATGCAAGTTGGTGGGACTGACATTGAAAGTGTGCCTAGCCATTCTGATTGGATAATAACACAGAGGTTTTGCGTGCTACAGACTAGACAAGAGAAATACATTTTTGATGTTTACGTTTCAGATAATATAAATTTCCTCACAGCAGATGGGGCAAAATTTACACATCCACTACATCATCTAGGAAAAAGTGTAAACGATCTTCCAGTTTTAGCCATTGACAGTTTCAGACATATGTATGTCTTTCCTGGCAATGTGGCTGAAGACATGGGGTAGGTGATTTTATCGATTGCTCTTCACTGATCAGTAAGCGTATTGAGATTCTGAACTCTTAGCAGAGTCTAAGCTAATTCTATATCTAAAGCATGGCTGGCATTGTTCAAACATGAAATCTTTGGTCAAAATTATTTGGAAAATACTTTTTTGATAAAGCTTTCTTAACCAAATCATTTTCAAAAAAGGTAAACTTGACCTCAGGGTCACTTGAAAAGTAATCTCCCAATCAGAAGATCTTTTTATTATGTACTATTTAGTTATCTCCCCTAGCAACAAATTAACCAAAAATTAAATAACCTTATTTCTTAACTATCTATTTGGTGTTCCTTACAAATTTGTTTTTTTTTCTCAATTTTCAAACTATCCAAAACCAATATTACTCAAGGTATGTTGTCTAAGTGGATGGAAATTTAGATTTTTAAAGTATTGAGCCTTTTCTACCAAATGACTTTCCTATAATTTGGGCTACTATTATATACGCCCACATATGGACGTATATTGTCGGCACCGCTGTCTGTCGGTCCGTCAACATTTGCTTGTGAACGCTCTAAAAACTAGATTTTTTGATGGAATCAAATGAAATTCGGTATGTGTATACATATTCATAAAACGAAGATCAAGTTCGAATTTGAGCTATTTTCGACCGTTAGAAGCAGAGTTATTGCCCTTGCCCCAAAATCTTGAATATGCTATTACTCTCTTAGTTTTAAAGATGTTTCGTTTTTACCACCCGCATGCCGCGGTGGGCGTATATGGCTGTGGTCCACTATCTTTATATTTGTAGCTGTGCAATTTTCTGTATGAAAAGTTGATTTTGTTCAAATTTGAAGACTTATAAATGCACAGGAAGCCGTTTCAAAAATGATTTTGGAAGTCAAATGATGCACTGGTATCCCCTGAACATTTTAAAAATGTTAAATTTTTCATATTTGTAGCAAACCAGGAGTGTTGAAAGCTTTTATAGATGATTTACATTCTGGAAAATTACACCGTGAATTTCATCATGGGCCTGATGCAACTCCTCCTCCACAACCTCATCTCCCAGTAAGTACTGAATTACTACTATCTTCTCCCTTTTCCCCCAACGTATCTGGTTAAATATTGACAACCTAAGCATCAATCCCTGGCAAGTACAGAGGAGCCTTGTTTATCAGCTTATTACCGATTCCTGAATGGGATCATTAGATTAACAGGTAAATACCTTTATCATTCAATGATGTGTCGATTTTGGCGCTGTTGACGTTCGAAGGAATGACATCGACGCCATGTAGTGGCCACGTCAATCAGACTCAATGATAAAAGTAGTCCGTTTACGGGCGGAGCTTATATTTTCCTTCCGTTTTATACAGATATAAACCGAATGCACGTGATCGCTGTTATCCAATCAAATTGTGTGATACCATGTAAATGGAATCGAGATTTAAGTATTTATGGTTATTCACATTATGGATCCCTTGACAGTTGCAAAGATAAAGAAAGTAAAACAAAATATCCATTGTCTGATTTAGCATGTAAGCCTAATGAGATGCTGAAAAGTGGGAAAAAAAGCCCCGTTTATTTTCTTGAGTTCACATTTTCATGTCATTTTCAGGGTCAACAGGGAGATCAAGAAGTATCAAAAGAACCAAATCACATTCCAAAAGATAGCAGTGACAACGGGCACGATTTACGTGAGCAGCCCACATCACCCCCAGAATCAGCGTTCAGAAAACTTGGTCCGTCCCGAAATCGATACACGATATTACGGGACGAGCTTTAAGTTTAAAATTTATCTGTTTTTTTATCAGATCTTATATTTAATTTAAAAATATTTTATATCAAACAGGGCTACTGATTTCGTTATATACGCCAGTCACATTTGTCTTAAGCATCAATATATTTGCCAGTCTTGTAAGGTTTATGCTGGTGTGTCTGCTAGTCTCGTCTGGCCAAAATTCAAGCTTTTATTAGCAAGTCATGTCCTGTGTTTGACTAGAGCCCTAAATTAATGAAATCAGCAGCCCTGGTGATGTGATATTTAGTTTATGTTTTGCTTACATCAAAACTGCTCATGATACCACTTTGTGATTCATCAACCCAGCAAACCTTAAAAAAGAGTCCTGAAAGGTAATAAGTTGGTATTTGAATATGTCAATTCGGGATTCCTTTGGAAAAGTAGAGAGAGGTGTTCGTATTTCGTGTAAAATTGTGAATACCAAATATCTGGGTTGAAAGTTTTGCAATGTAAACAAGGCACAAACAGTAAATATGCATGCGCACAAGTTAAAAGCCAGGGCCATTTTCTTGAAAACTTAACGCTAAAATCATCAGTTTTCAAGAAATTGGGCCCAGGGTTTTGTGCAATTAAATCTGTTTTGTATATATTGTATGTATTTGGAGGGTAGGGGTTTTGTGCAAGAAAAACAACATTTTTGAAATGGGTAAGGGAGTATCTGTTTGTATGTATCTATTGGTCCCACTGACTCAGTGTAGAAACCCTGCTCACGAGTAACATTTACTCTTCTTGCCAATTATGTTTGAAGCTCACATTATTTAACTAAGCAATTTTAGTAATCCAAAATTAAATTAAGACCGAACTTTCGGTCATTTTTGTATTAACTTTTTTTTTAATATAGCAACTTTGGATGAGGTCTAAAGACGGTTTTCTTGAACATTCATCTGTTTGATAAAACCGCCAGCCAATCATTTGTCTACCCTCTCAAACCCTGGAATTTTGTGACACGAACAAAATGTGTATTCTGAAAAACATTAGACACTAAATACACTGTTTGTTCATGTAGCAAAATCCCAACGTTGGAGAATACAGATATTTGATTGGCTGGGGTTAATGTTCAAGAAGGCCATCTTCAGACCCTAACTGAAGTGGTTAAATTAAAAATAAAAGCTGATAAAAAAGGGAACGAAAGTTTGGTCTCATCCAAAAAATCTTAAGATCAAAATTTGTGATGTACTTTTACTTAGGGAATACATAGAAAATAATGCTTATTGGAATATTTTGCTTGTAAAAAAAGCTTATCCCAAAATTTTGTAGCTATGGCATCATCTTTTTTCCTTTTGTTTATATTCAAAATTTTAATAAAATATCATGCATAATTTAGAATTTCCTAAATAACAATTTAAAAAGGTATGTCCACTAGGGCTGTAACGATTCTTGAAGTTGCCATTCGATACACTATACGATACTCATCCAACGATACGATTTATTGTGATATCGTGATTCATTTACTAAAGAAGGAAGGGGGAAAATAGTAGAAATTTTAAAAAAAAATTAAAGTCAGACATAAATTATCGCTGTTCATCGATTCATCGGTGTATCGTTGCAGCCCTAATGTCCAGTCCTTCATATGTCATATTGTGGTCAAGTTTTTCTGGAGCTACAGGAACTACTGATAGAAAAATCAGAATGGTATACATAGAAGTTGAAAATGTCATTCATATACATAAGAAGTGAAGCAAATTTCTTGAACTCCTTTCATTGTAAATTGCATAATAATGCTATCTTTGTCATTTTTCAGAAAGGAACATTTAAGACGTCTGCATTGAAAATTTAACCGCGCCTTTATATCGTGGGTGACCTCTTGAAACCCCGTATAATGATATATGACGCAAAATTACTTTTCTGAGAAAAACTATTTGTACGCGTATTTTGTTAAAATCTTTTTTATTATTTTTTTTACTGCTATACGTGGTTTTCATTCTTTGAAAATATAAACCTTGTATAACAATTTGAGATCACTGGCCTATTGAACCAACGAGGTTTTTCGTTTTCATCCCAGAAAAAAGAACATTGAACCTGGTATAATAATATATTTTACGAGGTTTTATATCTGACTGTTTATATACGTGTTATTTAATTAGAGCTTTTTGAGTTATTTACAATCAAGCTAAGAATACGAGGTTTTGATCACAAGATCCACGCTTTTAGGAGCTTTTGAAAAGTCAAAATGACCAAATATGGCTTATACAAGGTTTCAAGCGGTCACCCACAATATCCAAGTTAACTTTTCAGTGTCTTTCAAATGACTAGATTTTGAATTCTTGAACCAAGGATATGAGCCAATCTAGCAAACTCACTGATCAGGAGCAAAGAGAGTGAATTATTTATTAAAGTTAAATCAAGATTATGTTTGTATTTTAGAAATGAAATTTTGTTAACTATATTTAGAAGTTGCTATTTTTAATTGTGTGTATGCAAGAGCTTTATTGTATGTCATCTTGATGTACCAAGGGTGCATGAGTCACATAATATCTTTCCCTTGACCTGACAAGCTGATAATTTTTTTTTTTTTGCTCATGATAATAAAATTGTGGTTGAAATATTAGATTATTACATCAAGGGTAAAATCTAGAAGACTCGTATTCCACTTGTGGCATCAAAAATTTGTATGTTAGTTTTTAAAATTGTGGTTGAAATATTAGATTATTACATCAAGGGTAAGATCTAGAAGACTCGTATTCCACTTGTGACATCGAGAATTTGTACGTTAGTTTTTTTTATAAATGTTTTGTATGAAGAATTAGTTGTTGGTGTTAGGGAATTTTTAATATTGTTATATTCTTTAAGTTTAGTGCGTTCTGTAAGGGGAGGTTATTCTGTTTACTTGAGAGTTGTATATGGACTCACTCCATTAATTCATTTGCCATCTCCTCCCATGTTATAACACGAAATTCAACCTTCTATAACTTTTTCCAGAAATCTCGTTGAAAGCTTTCCAATATGTCGAATGAAAGCCTGACCAATTCTCAATGTCTCCTAAAAAATTCAATATATGATGACCATGAAAATTTTGAGCTACTAAAATTGAAAGTAGACTACTACCGGTTATACTCATCCGCTAGAGTTTGGCACTTCACAAAACATCTATTTTTAGAATTAGCCTTCCGCCTTTAAGTCTCTCATCATCTCACCAAATCTTAAAGATAATGCAATTTCAGACATCAAATTCCAAATCTAGACCAAAAATAGGCATGCAAAAACTCCAAAAGGGAGAGAGAAAGAAGATTTCTAAAAAAAAGCCCGGACTACATTAGTATACAATCATTTGCATAAAATGTTTTAGTGGAGTGAGTCCAATATATCAGCTACTTCAAATCTAGGTTGAGCTGATTGAACCATGTGAATCCTTTTTGAAAAGGGCTAAGGGATATAGTTCAAGTGAATATCACAATATTAAGCATAAAAATATCACTATATGGGTATTTGGAACAAATTTTAGATGTAAGAAAAAAAAAGAACCCAACCCAATCTTTAATATCATGAAAAAAAACCACCTGTTTTGAATATTAAGTTACTTATTAAAATTATGTAGATGATCTTATCTGGACAAAAATTTGACGATATATTCGTTGATAACTACCATATATCACGATATGACGATATTTCTGTATTTTTTATCAGGTGATATTACTCATGATATATGGTATATCGCCCAGCCCTTATGCATCATATGAATCTGCATCCCCATTATTCAGATATAATAATAATGAAATAAGCATGGCCCATTTAAAAACCTAGCCCAACATTTAACCAAAACACATCACCTTTAGCTTGAATACACAACTTTTACATTGCACTGTGTTTTTGTGTCGATACATTGAATAGTTGTTTTCTCAGGCAGATTTGTATCTGATACACATACGAAGACTAGAAAATCAGAATGATGTAAATAGAAGCTATAAGTGTCTCTGATACACATACAAAGACTAGAAAATCAGAATGATGTAAATAGAAGCTATAAGTGTCTCTGATACACATACAAAGACTAGAAAATCAGAATGGTGTAAATAGAAGCTATAAGTGTCTCTGATACACATACAAAGACTAGAAAATCAGAATGATGTAAATAGAAGCTATAAGTGTTCCTGATACACATATAAAGACTAGAAAATCAGAATGGTGTAAGTAGAAGCTATAAGTGTTCCTGATACACATAAAGACTAGAAAATCAGAATGGTGTAAATAGAAGTTATAAGTGTCTCTGATACACATACAAAGACTAGAAAATCAGAATGGTGTAAATAGAAGCTAAAAGTGTCCCCAATACACATATAAAAACCAGAAAACCTCTTGAAATGTTTGTTTTGTCTTCATTGGTTTTTTGTTATATATATTCTTTTCATATTTTATCAGTTTCCATGGTTACGATGTTTTTATATTTTAAGAATTATTCGACTTATACTTGTCAAAAGTGGAGTTGCCCAAACTCTTACTTGATACAAGATGGCTATAGATATGTAACTTTCACAAGCAATTCTATGAAATTTGTTTTCAAGTTTGCTGTCTGTAGTTGGATTGTAGAGTTAAACTGAAATCTTTTGTTTGTTCAAAAAATATTCATGCACATCCAGGGGACAATTCAAAACATAAACATTCAACTTTGTTTTGAGGTAATTTATTAATCAGAGGACCAGTCTTATCTATTTACTTTCTAGAAATCTGATTGGTTAATATTACCATTACAATAACACCAACCAATCATCTTTAAAGCGATTGTGAGGAAGTTTTCTAAATTTTCTGTGTATATCAGGGTCACTGATAGATAGCATCAATTTGTCCCATCCCAATTTTCAATCAGATCTGTGATTTTGAAAATTTTACTAAAATTAAGTGTTTGATGACGTCACTAATCCCAAATCTGCTTTATTACATAAGGCCCTTCGCGCATAGTGACGTTATAAAACGTTTAGTTTTAGAGGAATTGAGGGAACCACAGCTGTCCGATTGAAAATTGGAATGGGACAAATTGATGCGTTCAGTGTCTTCAATACACATAAAAACTTTAGGAAACCTCTTTACAAGTATAGTTTCAATATCCATTTATTTAACTTCAACCCAATTAGATTGTGTTTATGTTTGAAGAGTCCTTAGATGTGCACAAATTTCTTTGCTCTATGACTATGATGGTATCTTTGGTACTTTTTCAAAATGTCTGAATTTCATGCTGAATAAAAAAAAAAAAAAGAAAATAAATCATACATTGTTTTCTTTTACTAGTCTTAAAGCAGTTTGACCTATAGCCATTGAGCCAGCAGACCAATATTCCAGTCAAAGATTTAATGAACAGATTTTCTTTTTTTTTTTCAATCAACTAATTGGTTAAACTGAATATTGAAGTAATTATTGAACGTTTTTTTGAAAGGGGCTTTCTACCTGCTGTCCGAAGGATTCCAGCTTCATTAGCACAATAACAAGTTTTGGGATAACAACAACAACAGTTTTGGTCGGTGATTTTTGTTGCCGACTAGAGTCTTGTCAAGAGTTTCAACATGGCTGCGAGCCACAAGGAGAGAAAAATCTTGTCCGGAAAGCAGAGGCACACGTGAGATTTTACTCAATATTCGAATCAGCGACAAAAATCATCAACCAAGACTGTGCCTGCATTTTAACTATATCATTGTTTCACTGTCATTAATAAAACTATAGATACCTGTGATTTTTCTTAAGCTCTTTTAATACTAAACTTTCTGTTAAAGTGATATTACGTCTTAGAATTAACATAAACTTAAGAATTTTAAACTTGGCCAATAAGAGCCAGTAGATGTACCTGGTGTCATAAATAACATAATGTCAGGATCCTTATATAATCCGATAAATCCAAAAAAACTTAGTAATTATCCATAAATATGCAATTAACTATTGAAAAACGCTTAATATCAAGATTTTTCAATAATTACTTAGTTTTATGAATTTTCCAATTTTCTAGATTTTACAGGGATTCTGTTGTAACTTTATGACACCAGGTAAGTTCACTGATGAATATATACTCATATTGACCATTCTTGAGAATTAAATTTTATGTTCATTCTAAGACGTAGTATCACTTTTAAGTAGAATATGGCACATTAGTGTAAACAATATAAACAGCCTATTGACATAACTGTCTATCCCAGCCAGGGCTTGCTAACAGGGTCCCATGTTATACCAGCATCCTCATATGAGTTCTACAATAGAAAAGTTCTACAATAGAAATTATCATATCATACTCTCTGATAAGAAATAGGGAGCCACGGTGGCTCAGTGAGTTAAGACGCTTGCTCGCTAACCTGAAGGTCCAGGGTTCAATTCCGGCATAGGACGAGATAATACCTTCGGATTTTTCAACCTGGTTTCCCCCTGTCAGTGATGCAGGTAAGAGGGGCTGACATGGAAAAAAACATCTAGTCGTTAGGACAATAAACTGAGGCGCCGTGTGCTACAGACTTTTGATGTCTTCTACAAACATGTTATACAAATCCAGTAAAAACTGACTGGTCTTGGTCAAAAATGAGGTCAACTGATAAATCTAATATTTGGACCAATAAAATGAGCTCTATCAGCTGATAAATCTAATATTTGGATCAATAAAATGAGCTCTATCAACTGATAAATCTAATATTTGGACCACTAAAATAAGCTCTATCAGCTGATAAATCTAATATTTGGACCACTAAAATTAGCTCTATCAGCTGATAAATATAATATTTGGATCAATAAAATGAGCTCTATCAGCTGATAAGTCTAATATTTGGATCAATAAAATGAGCTCTATCAACTGATAAATCTAATATTTGGACCACTAAAATAAGCTCTATCAGCTGATAAATCTAATATTTGGATCAATAAAATGAGCTCTATCAGCTGATAAATCTAATATTTGAATCAATAAATTGAACTCTATCATCTGATAAATCTAATATTTGGACCACTAAAGTGAGCTTTATCAGCTGGTGTAGTAAATATGAAGACGACTATACCAATAGTTGGAAATACAGCTCTATCAGCTGATAAATCTAATATTTGGACCAATAAAATGAGCACTAACAGCTGATAAATCTAATATTTGGATCGATAAAATGAGCTCTATCAGCTGATAAATCTAATATTTGGACCACTAAAATGAACTTTTATCAGCTGGTATAGTAAATATTAAGATGACTATACCAATAGCTGAAATTAAGCTCTATCAGCTGTTATAGTAAATAATTAGACTACTATACCAATAGCTGAAATTAAGCTCTATCAGCTGTTATAGTAAATAATTAGACTACTATACCAATAGTTGGAAATTAAGCTCTATCAGCTGTTAAAGTAAATATTTAGACTACTATATCAATAGTTGGAAATTAAGCTCTATCAGCTGTTAAAGTAAATATTTAGACTACTATATCAATAGTTGGAAATTAAGCTCTATCAGCTGTTAAAGTAAATATGTAGACTACTATATCAATAGTTGGAAATTGAGCTCAATCAGCTGGTATAGTAAATATTTAGACTACTATATCAATAGTTGGAAATTGAGCTCTATCAGCTGTTAAAGTAAATATTTAGACTACTATATCAATAGTTGAAAATTGAGCTCTATCAGCTATTAAAGTAAATATTTAGTCTACTATATCAATAGCTGAAATTAAGCTCTATCAGCTGTTAAAGTAAATATTTAGACTACTATATCAATAGTTGGAAATTGAGCTCTATCAGCTGTTAAAGGAAATATTTAGACTACTATACCAATAGCTGAAATTAAGCTCTATCAGCTGTTAAAGTAAATATTTAGACTACTATATCAATAGTTGGCAATTAAGCTCTATCAGCTGTTAAAGTAAATATTTAGTCTACTATATCAATAGTTGGAAATTGAGCTCTATCAGCTGGTATAGTAAATATTTAGACTACTATATCAATAGTTGGAAATTGAGCTCTATCAGCCGTTAAAGTAAATATTTAGACTACTATATCAATAGTTGGAAATTGAGCTCTATCAGCCGTTAAAGTAAATATTTAGACTACTATATCAATAGTTGGAAATTGAGCTCTATCAGCTGGTATAGTAAATATTTAGACCACTAAACAGATAGCTGAAATTGAGCTCTATCAGCCGTTAAAGTAAATATTTAGACTACTATATCAATAGTTGGAAATTGAGCTCTATCAGCTGGTATAGTAAATATTTAGACTACTATATCAATAGTAGGAAATTGAGCTCTATCAGCCGTTAAAGTAAATATTTAGACTACTATATCAATAGTTGGAAATTGAGCTCTATCAGCCGTTAAAGTAAATATTTAGACTACTATATCAATAGTTGGAAATTAAGCTCTATCAGCTGTTAAAGTAAATATTTAGTCTACTATATCAATAGTTGGAAATTGAGCTCTATCAGCTGGTATAGTAAATATTTAGACTACTATATCATTAGTTGGAAATTGAGCTCTATCAGCAGTTAAAGTAAATAATTGGACTACTATATCAATAGTTGGATATTGAGCTCTATCAGTTGTTAAAGTAAATATTTAGACTACTATATCAATAGTTGGAAATTGAGCTCTATCAGCTGGTATAGTAAATATTTAGACTACTATATCAATAGTTGGATATTGAGCTCTATCAGTTGTTAAAGTAAATATTTAGACTACTATATCAATAGTTGGAAATTGAGCTCTATCAGCTGGTATAGTAAATATTTAGACTACTATATCAATAGTTGGAAATTGAGCTCTATCAGCTGTTAAAATAAATATTTAGAGTACTATATCCCTTAAAAAACAAAATCTGTTTGGAGAATTACACTTACCAAAACATCCATGCTCTCTTGTGGAATTTCCCAGTCAAAGACTTCGCTATTTTCCTTGATGCGTTGTGGCTTTCCAGACTTAGGTATGGTGATGACTCCACTTTGAACACTGTATCTTATTAATATTTGGGCAGGAGTTTTGTTTAACCTGAAAAAAAGACGGACATCACGAGACATAGGTCATTTTGGTGAATAATGATCAAGGAACTTGGACTGTTCTCAAGTCTGCCCATATAGTTTTCCTTTGAAAATAAACCTGATTTTGAATTCTATTCTGAAAAAGGGTACAGAGATATAAAAATAATTCCCAAAGAAGTCAAATTGCTCAGAATATAATTAGTAGCAACCGTCAAAATTAAGCAAATTTTTCATTAATTGGTGTTTCTAATGAATTATCATGTATTCTTAATCATATCATTATGTTCTTATTACATATAATTAAGAGTTTTAACTAATCATGTAATCCATGTAAGTACAGTCTGGATAAACAAAAAAAGACTTTTTGACCTTTTTTGATTGGTCACTCATTGAAATTCTGCTGGTTATTCTCTTCTAATTTAGCTAATTATGAATTAATTATGGACATGTGAGACAAACTGGTCATTAGAACACCTCTACTTTCTATTCATATAAGTATTAGCATTTTCATTTTCATAAATAAAAATAAGGGAACCCATCTTTAATTCTGGGCAAAATTCACAAAATATTGAGTTCCTAAAAGTAACAAATTTCACATTATTGCCATTTTAAATATTCTCAAATGCAAAAAACTTACATTTTGGACAGTTTCACAATCTCCGGGTCATCAAATTTTTGTCCGCGTACTATAGGACAATAGCCTACAACAACGATGCCCTTATCTTTACAATATTTCACCAATTCAGGCCGCTTAAACCATGGGTGAAACTCGATCTGGTTGACACTTGGCGTGGGTAGCCCTGCTTCCTCTAATCCTTTCAGATGCTGAACTCCAAAATTAGACACACCTACAGACCTTGAGAAAAATAGAAAGAAATGCAATATATTTAACAATGTGATTGTACAGCGCATCTGAGCACATATTGTGAAAGATGGCGCTCTATAAGTGTCTTAATGATAATAATAATATCATGAATACAGGTTTTAACATGGTCTTATTAACCCATATTAAACTAAGCCCACTACACTTCATTTTGGGGGCGTGGAAATGAGATTGGTGCCATTTGAATCTAACCAATCATATCAGTAGAACAGAAATGAGGTCATATAAACAAAACACAAACTCTATTTGTCGTTTGAAGAGATAAGTATTAGTGTTGAAACGGTTAATGAATTTTACAAAACCAGGTAATCGTCGGCAATAACCGTTTGTTACCCGGTTAATCCCGGTTAATAACTAAAGATTATAAAAGGAGTCAAAAACCACATTTGCGGTGGTAACTCACTGTTAACTAAACTAGAGTAAGTGTAAATAAATACCCAGGAAGATTTTGGATAGTTCCCCGCGAATTGTCGGTACAAATCGACAGATACCAAACAACCCGCGTCTACTTCAATGTAAGATTACGAGCGGGCATGACAGAGTTCAGACAGACTGGCGGCATTGTCACTCATTGCTACAGTCTCTAACAGATCAAAGGTTTTTATACCAGTTGTGGGGTCAGTGTAATGAGTGTATTTCATTGAAGTCACCGCGAATCAGTGTACTGGTTCCACAACTGGTATAAAACTAATAGTTTTTACTTCTTATAAAATTGACGGTTAACCGATTATCTAAAATCAGACCTGGTTACCCGTGAAATACTACCCGAAATCGGTTAACTGATTAACCGTTCAACACTAATAAGAACTTTCTTTCCACGTAAATATTCTAATGCAAGGTTTGATTTTCTCTCGCCTTCACTTCTTTACCGAAAATCTTACTCAATTCTGTACTGTCCATTACTTTCTTTTTGTTTACTTTCGCAAACAAGCTTCATCAAGAGTGATTTGATTGGCTGAGATTTCCTAGAAATATTCCAGGGACAATTCTGATTGGACAACATTTATCTAAGAGTATGTTATTTCCCTCACTTGTAATACCACAGTCTTTAGAGTTTAGATGGTATGACGAATGGGGACCTTGTTTGGACACAATGTGTACCTTATTGACTAACAATCTAGTATGGGTACTCACCTTACCAAGCCTTCTTTCTTGAATTCTAACAAAGATTTATATGTCTCTACATTTCTTCCTCCATCTGGTGAATGAATTAACACTTGATCCACATACCCACTGTCTAATCTATCATAGGATGAATGAATGAATGAATTAACACTTGATCCACATACCCACTGTCTAATCTATCATAGGATGAATGAATGAATTAACACTTGATCCACATACCCACTGTCTAATCTATCATAGGATGAATGGATGAATGAATTAACACTTGATCCACAATACCCACTGTCTAATCTATCATAGGATGAATGAATGAATGAATGAATTAACACTTGATCCACATACCCACTGTCTAATCTATCATAGGATGAATGGATGAATGAATTAACACTTGATCCACAATACCCACTGTCTAATCTATCATAGGATGAATGAATGAATGAATGAATTAACACTTGATCCACATACCCACTGTCTAATCTATCATAGGATGAATGAATGAATGAATGAATTAACACTTGATCCACATACCCACTGTCTAATCTATCATAGGATGAATGAATGAATGAATGAATTAACACTTGATCCACATACCCACTGTCTAATCTATCATTGGATGAATGAATGAATGAATGAATTAACACTTGATCCACATACCTACTGTCTAATCTATCATAGGATGAATGAATGAATTAACACTTGATCCACATACCCACTGTCTAATCTATCATAGGATGAATGAATGAATGAATTAACACTTGATCCACATACCCACTGTCTAATCTATCATAGGATGAATGAATGAATTAACACTTGATCCAAATACCCACTGTCTAATCTATCATAGGATGAATGAATGAATTACGCTTGATCCACAATACCCACTGTCTAATCTATCATAGGCTGAATGAATGAATGAATTAACACTTGATCCATATACCCATTGCCTAATCTATCATTGGATGAATGAATGAATGAATGAATTAACACTTGATCCACATACCCACTGTCTAATCTATCATAGGATGAATGAATGAATGAATGAATTAACACTTGATCCACATACCCACTGTCTAATCTATCATAGGATGAATGAATGAATTACACTTGATCCACATACCCACTGTCTAATCTATCATTGGATGAATGAATGAATGAATGAATTAACACTTGATCCACATACCCACTGTCTAATCTATCATTGGATGAATGAATGAATGAATGAATGAATTAACACTTGATCCACATACCCACTGTCTAATCTATCATAGGATGAATGAATGAATGAATTAACACTTGATCCACATACCCACTGTCTAATCTATCATAGGATGAATGAATGAATTAAAACTCAATCCACATACTCACTGTCTAATCTATCATTGGATGAATGAATGAATGAATTAACACTTGATCCACATACCCAGTTTAATCTATCATAGAATGAATGAATGAATGAACACTTGATCCA